AGTTACATAAATGTTATATAAAATTTTTATTTAGACTTACAAACCCAATGTAGACTTACATAGTTAGAATTTTTATGCATGACTTAATATAATATTTATATAAATTTTATTTATTATTTATATAAATATAATATTTATATAAATTTTATTTATTATTTATATAAATATAAAAATTATATAAATTCTATTCATATCTTTATATAATAAATTAAATTACTTTGGCTATTTCTCAAAACGGCTAAGGTAGTCAATGTTCGATATTTATAAATACAACGATTAATTTATCATCGCATGATCCAATATTGATGTTATCGTGCAATTATGATTCTGATTTACAAGTCATTATTAGCTAACTGAGTTTTAATTCGAGATTGTTTTGCTTATGTAATAACGTACAAAAACTAATAAGAAGAAAAATCTATGATTATAAGAGTTTGCACGATAAAGATAAATATTATAGAAATATCAGGTTCTGATTTTGACGTCCATCGAGACAACAACAATGACATATTGGGAGTTGATAGAGTTGATAGAGTTATTAGTAGGCTATCAGATACTTGATATCTCTATCAAGTATTTGATAGCTCCATCAACATATCCTTGTTGTCACGATGGGCGCCAAGAGCCAGAAAAAGTCAGAACCTGATATTTGTCTGATTACAGTACTTTATTTTCATACAGTGATTCATTTGGGCCAAAAGTTCAATTTTTTTAAAATTTAAAATTTTCAAATTTTGAAATTTAAAATTTTGAAAATTTAAATACTGTTGAACCTCCCAAAACCGATATGCACTGTATGTATCAGCATTGAGAGGTTATCAGATTTGAAAACATTATAAACTATTAGATTTACTTTTGATCTTCCCAAAATCGATTCTCTCAACATCGATAACCTGTCAAATCTAATAAAAAATTAGTCTGCCAAGTCCGTTTCCATTATATACTGTTGAACCTCCCAAAACCGATATGCATGGTGTGTATCAGTATTGAGAGGTTATCGGATTTGAAAACATTATAAATTATTATATTTATATAACGGAAACAGACTTGGTAGATTAATTTTTTATTAGATTTGACAGGTTATCGATTTTGGGAGGGTCAACAGTAAATCTAATGTCTAATGTTTTATAATGTTTTTAAATCTGATAATCTCTCATTACTGATATGTCCACCGTGCATATCGGTTTTGGGAGGTTCAACAGTAGTTTATCCCTTAGTCTGTATTTGGGGCAAATTTGCCTCGAATTTTAAATTTCCGACAAATTTTCCGCAATACTGACAAATTTTATTATATAAAAGCCCCCAATTTCTTGTACCACCTTGTAGGGTATATAACAGAAATGTCTCCACAAAATCGCTTTGCCGCTAATGTTGTTGGTAAATTTCAGTAAACCTCCAATGCCTATCCTTTAATATGTTTCTTTTTTTATAATTTAAATAAAATCATCACAAAAACAATTTTTTTCTTTTTTAAAAAAAAAAAAAAAAAGGCATATACTACTGGTAACGATGATATTTCTGACTCAAAATATTTGGCTATTTTTGAGCACAATCACCATGGCAAAAGGTTCGCTGACCAGGAAATTGAAATTGATATCTTTATGAAATAAGTGAAGAAAATCAGAAAGAAAGTAGTAATATAAACCTGAAAAGCAATAGAGTAACTCGTGTAAAAAGTAAAAAAGGCCAAGTAGGTGGGTCAAACGAAATAAGCAGTAAAAGAATTGTAACAGATGAATTAGGTGATGAAATTGGTGAAACAAGTAAAGCTATTCGAAAAAAAAAAAAGTAATTAATAGCAAGTCTGTAGATAAATCTACACTTTATGAATTACCTGAATTTGAACCTTTACATACCTTTCCTGTGCATCATGATTATGCAACTTTGTCTCATAAAATGCAAATTGGTACTATTGATCTAATTGTGTTATTTCAATTGTGTTTTACTGATCAACAATTACAAATAATTGTCGAAAATACTAACAAGTATGAACAGATAAAAGGTCATGAAGGTGGGTGTATTTGGGTTAAATTAACATTAAAAGAGTTAAAAGTTTGGATCGCTTTGGTTATATATATGGGTGTTCATAAAATTTACGCAGTTGAAGATTTGTAGAATTTTAATGAAAAAATGGCAGTTCATAATATTACAAATTTTATGTCATTATATAGATTCCAACAAATTAAGCAATTTTTACATATTTCTGACCCAAGTAAGCCTAATTCTTATTGGTTTTCAAAAATAGAACCATTAGCATTGCATGTTTGTGAAACATTTAAAAAATTATATTGTCCCCTTACACAAATACCTGTTGATGAAATGATAGTTCACTTTTCTGGTCGTAGTATACATACTGTTAAGATGAAAAATAAACCAACTCCAGAGGGATATGAAATTTTTTCTCTCTGTGATGCTGGTTATATGTGAACATTTTGTTTTTATTCAAAAGTTGAAAAAAACATAGAAGTAGAGCATATTAGTGATATTAATAAAACGGGTTGTTTGGTTTGGCATTTAGTAAAACAACTTCCACATAAAAAAAATTTTCAAATATATATGGATAATTTTTTCTCAAGTATTCCACTTTTTGATTATTTGCGCAATAATAATTTAGGTGCATGTGGTACTATACGTACCAATTCATCTAAATTTCCTAAAACATTAAAAATTAAAAATCTTTTGGTTTTAGATTGGAATACTATTTTTGGCAAAGTAATTAATAATGTATTAGCGATTTTATGGATCGATAATGGGCCAGTTAATCTACTTACTACTATTCATAGAATTACTAGAAATGAGTAGAAAATTATTTGTAATCAGCGTCGTCCATGTATAACAAGTACAAATGCCAAAAAAGTTTGTCAAGTTTTTGGTGATATGGTAAGAAAAGAATTGAAAATTTCAAAAATAATTGATGATTATAACCACTATATGGGGGAGTTGATATTGCAGACCAACTTAGAAGTTATTATAATTGTCAAATAATTACATATTGCACATAGTTTTCATTATTTTTTTGGATTTTAGATACAATGCTTGTTAATTGTTTTTATCTTTATGATAAAGTTTCTAATATGGGTATATCAAGCAAAAATTTTAGAATTACACTCGCATGGGATTTAATTCAAGATAGTTTAAAAGATAAAACCAAAACTAAACTAACTAAAATAATGTGATTTTAGCAGAATCATCAAAAAAATAGACGAGTTGCTTATGTTATAAAAAATTTTGAATTACCATTATCTCGTTTTTTACCTGGAAATTATTTAGTAGAATGGAGAAAAGAAAGAGAGTCATGTATATATTGTCGATACTTGAAAAAACAAAATGAAAAAAATAGCAAAAAAAAGAAATCAGCTACTGTCGCAATATCTCAAAGCAACTATTGGTGTATTAAATGTAATATACCTTTATGTTGTTTCTAAAGTAAGACCTAACTGTTTTAATAATTTTCATACTCTAAATGAATAAATTTATTAAATAGTTAAATTTATCAAATAAATAAATTTAAATAATATTTTAATTATAATTAAAAAGTATAATATTTTTAATAATTTATAAAGTTTAATCTAATTAATATTTATTTGAATGCTTTTTTAAGATTTTAAAT